CCATTTTCCCATTTTACCCCTTTCCCTCCTCACCAACTCCACTGTGACTAACATGGGCTCATGGTCACATACAGTCTTCTGTAAAAATGTTTTCAATGTATCTATGGAAATGGATCGTTTCTTTTTAAATTATTAATATGTTTTCGACCCCAATGTCAGCATTGTCAAAATTCTTTAGTTGTTTTAAATGTGCATGGTCACTTTCTGCACTTATCTCACCATGGCCAGGTAATGGAGTCCCTGGTGCAATGATGGTCCACAGACCACCCCTGGACAGGTGTGCTCTGTGTTGTCCATTGTCTCCATTTACCTGTGTCCTCTGCTAGTGATGAAGAGCAGATCGCCTGCAACTGGTCTTACTGCCAATACCTCAGTGTGAACATTTCTCTGTGATGTATTCCTGGAAACACCACCATTGAGTCTGAGGGCCTGACACATACATTCACTCCGCCCAAGTGTGGCCACTTCACCTTCTGGTGGAAGCCCCAGTGCACACTGTAGCTACCTGCGCACGGGCCCCATATACTCACTTCCTTGTGGTCACTGGTGTCACAAAGTGCCTTATTTTCATTTTCTTTCCTTAACTACAAAATAGTTTGATTATTGTTCCAATAGCCATAGATTTTGTTGTTCTACTTCTCTTTAAATGTTTGGTGTTCTACTTTCTCATTAAAATTTTTATTTTTGCCAATATTTCTACTGAGTTGGTTTGTAGATACTTTTGTTTAGCCTTCTTTTGAATCTCTCATCTGCTCTTTCTCATATTCTGTCTAAATTAACATTTTCTATGTTGTCCTCTATGAGCCAGAAATCATTAAATCCTAAATTAAAAAAATTTTTTCCTAAAAAAAAAATTAGGAAAACAGCAATGTTACATAATAATTCTCATTTTTGAATCATGGTTTGTTTCTAAATAAGAACTGCAATGAAGTCCATTTGTGTTTCTAAGTCATTTTACTGAGAGTCAAATCCTGTGATACAAGTTATTTTCCCTTTTATATTTGGTTGCTGGTACATGGTGTTTGTTGAATCATGATAGTTTGTACCATAAATATAAGTTGACACATGTTCTTTTATGTTTTTTTATTCTTTATTTTTTCAATGGTAGTAAGAGTGATAATGTGTGTATCCAAGCTTGCATGTATGCATGTGTCAGATATATATAAAAATTTAAGTATTAAATTTGCAATTTAAAAATAACACACAAAAACACTCAATTCATCTATGTTGCAAGCAATTTCTACCAAACATTTATGGATTACCTCCCATATTGCATAATATTCTCTCAAAAATTGTCCTAACATTTTCTGACTCATTTCATGATGCTAATATAGCCTCAACACAAAAGTAATATAATAGGAAAAGGAAAATTACAACCCCATTCATTTGTGAATGGAAATGCAAACAACTTAAAAAAAAAACTCACCAAATCCAGTCATGTAATAAATAAGTGATTGCTGGGGACAAAGGACTCTTCAGTATTTATTCTCTTCCCTTCTCAGGTTTTTTAATCCAATTGAGAAATAAAAGAAAGTGCATATAGAGAGACTATAATATTATCTTTAGGCAGCTGGGGAAAACTTCAGGTTTATTAAGCAAATTACTTGCTCCCAATCAACATAGTAGGTAGATAGACTTACCAACTCAGTCTTGGCAACAATGATTTGTCTTTTCTCTGAAGCATTGCAGGGGAGCACCTCAGGGTGCAGAGTCATGGGCTTTAGTAGGCCAGATGCTCCAAGCAGGTAAGGGCAGAGCAGAACATGCCAGGATGTTCTTCTCAGATTCACCAATCAAACATGCCATTTCACCTTTCTAGAAACAGAACCCATAAAGTGGAGAGGAGGAGGACTTGATTTCACAAATCGAAGTCCTCTTGCAGGAAAGGAACATCAGAAGCAAGGAAAATGCACTTTCCACCAGCAATCAAGATCAAGTGACATTGATCCCAGGATGGAAGAATTTTTAACGTTGAAAATCTCATTGACCTAATTTGCCATGCCACCACATTAATGTGGGAAAGCCATATGATCCTCTCAGCAGATACCAAAAAATATGATAAAATTAAACACTTTCATGATAGCAAAATAGAGTTAGAGGGGAGCAATGTTGCCTTGGTACGTGTAGTCTCCCACCCTGCTGTACCAAACACCCTCATTGCTAGTCAGTCTTGAGAAGCACTGGCCATAAACGAAGGAATAGGACCAGATGCCTACTATGACAAACCTACTCAATGTTTTTCTTGAGTCTTTAACCAGGAGAAGAAAAGACACACAAAATAATTGAAAGCCACTACATTTATAGGAAGAATTAGGACTATTATTATTTGGAGATGATGAAATTTTCTGCATGAAAAACTATAAAGTATTGCCAGATCAATTTGTAGACCAGCAAAGTCATATGATATTGAGCTAATATGCAAAACGTAATTACAATTTCTAGAAAAAATGGGGGGGAAACTATTTCAAAAAATACATGTGATGACAATAAATATAATATATGTAAGTGTAAATCCAAAAGAGTGTGTCATGATACTTATTAGGGAAATAAAACTTTGTCTAACAGTTTGAAGAAGACCAAGACATAGACCATTTTCATGGATAAGAACTCAATACTACAAACAACACATTTCCCCCAAACCGATCTATAGATTCTAGGAATTCTAGTCAAATACTTGAGAAATTTTTGTGTTCATCCTGATATTTTTATGTGGAATTTTAAAGGAAAATAAAGTAGAAGAGAATTTGCCCTACCAGATATCAGAAGTTATTATAAAAAAATCTATAAGGACTCTGTGGAGCTGGCTTTAGGGTAGACTAATAGGCCAGTGAAACTGAGGAAAGAAAGTCATAAAGAGACTCATTTGTCTATGGAAACCTGATGTATAAAAACATGAACGTGTACATCAATGAAAACAGTGCCATATTCTTTGGTGCTTATCTGTGTATATAAAAAATTAGATTCCTACTTTATGTTTTGCCAAAATTGTTTCCAAGTGGGTTACAGATTTAAAATTTATAGTTTTGAGAGTAAAATATTGCTGAATATGTATGACTTAGCTTCTGGAGAAAAAAATATTGACACAAGACATAAACGTACAAATGATAAAACTTGAAAACTCATCTCTATTTAAAGCCAATATTATGAAACAGAAAGGATTAGATGTTCACTGGAAATTTAATCTGGCAAACTTGTTTGCAACTCATCCATGTCAAAGATTAGTATTTATAAATAGTTTCTATAAATTAATCTAATTGGAAAATTCAAAAGAGACATGAATTAGAGAATCATAACCAGGCATGATGGTTAATGTAAAGTCAGCATTTCCGGGGGATGAGGCAGGAAGATCACAAGTTCAAAGCCAGCCTCAGCAAAAGCAAGGCCCTAAGCAACCCAGTGAGACTTTGCCTCTAAATAAAATACAAAATAGGGCTGGGGATGTGGCTCAGTGGTCGAGTGCCCCTGAGTTCAATCCTCTGTACCCCCACCCCTGCCAAAAAAAAAAAAAGATTTATAGAAGAAAACCTAAATGTACAATAGAGATGTGAAAAGATGCCATGCAAGTAGTCGGAACCTGTAAACCCAGCAACCCAGGAGGCTTAGCTAGAAGGTTTCAAGTTGGAGGACAGCCTGGACAAATTAGGGAGACCTTACCTCCAAACTTAAAAAATAAGTAAATAAAAAGTTCTGGGGCTATCATCCAGTGCTACAGCCCCTTGGGTTCAATCCTCTTCCCCTCAAAGAAGTAAATGAAGGAAATGTGAAGAGACACTCCCCTCAGCTCACTAGTGATCAGACAATTGTATAGGAATACTGAATTGAATTATAATTTCATACTCATGGATTTAAATTACCAAGTTTTGGACACAATGTGATCTTACAATAAATCATATTTGTCTGTTCAGAAAGTAAATGAGTACAGTAATGTTGAAGACAATTTAGAAATACTAGTAAAATTGAACCTGCTTCTCTATGGCCCAGAATTTCCAGGATAGGTACATGTTCTAGAAAGATTAATGATCACATAAATACGGTAATACACAAATACATGTGTGTATTTATAAATATACATATATACAAATATGTACATACACTTCAGAATGTTCTTGGCAGCATTGTCTGTCATAGAAACAATAGTCATCGTTACTACATACCTAGTGAAAATTCAGGAGACGGTGCCATGACATCTACATGGATGAATTTCTCCTATGGAACCCTGAGTAATGAAGACAAGAGGCAGACGTCAGCCTCGCTCAGAGGTCAGTAAGGCCAAGCAGAGCTGTGCTGGCTCCACAT